GGTCGGTGGAGCGGCCCTTCCAGCTGCCTCTGCTCGGGTGTTGCTCGTATCAGGAGAAAAACGTTACGCGTGTTGCGCCGCTTTCTCTGTAATGACGCTGAGACTTTGCTTTTATCTCGCAGAACCCGCGGTAACATCATGTGCTGTCGAATGTACTTTGATACACAATGAAACGTAGGCAGCTGCAGCCTGTAACTCTGCATCGGAGCAGATCGAGCTGTGTGTCTCCAGTGGAAGAAGAAGAAGTGAATGGGAACTTTGTGCTTTAGCAGAGCATTAGTGTCCAGGCCAGACAACGAGTTAAGGTAAAGGCTGGAAATCTGCATCATCTTTATTGTGTTTATCTGCTCCTTAATATCCTATTTGAACATGTAGGACTGGTGCTTCCTACTCTCAGAAGGTTTGATCCTGCTGTCTGTGCTCCTTGAGGCAGAGATGTGGTGGTGATGCTGAATGTAGTTTGACAGATACTTCCTGAAGTATAAAAGCGATCACATAACTGTAAATGCTTTTGAGCCCATTTTGTTTCCATATCTGAAAGCTGAAGAGGTGAGTGCCTTACAAAAAACCAGAACATTAATTAGAAAACCTGTGTGAATAGACAGTCTCGTGTAAACCTAAATGCTTTTAAAGCCAGACTTTGGGTTTAGCTTTCATTTAATACTTTCCATTGTAGAGATATCAATATTTGGGTCGCAAAACTGCTGACTGTAGTTTTCCAATCATGAAGTTTTCTTAAGTAGTGGAAGTATTTTAGGTTGAGAAGATTTTTTTTTTTTGATATTCCTCTTCTTGTAACACTTTCTTGAGTCTAAGGAATTAACAATATATATTCTTATATCAAAATACAAATAGTAAGAATCCCAACTACCATGCAGTATTATCCTAATGAGTAATCCTGTTTAATGGAACTGTTCATGTGAATGCTTTCTGGAGTAAAACCAACTACTCTTGGACCCGATCATCCTTTAAGATGGATTCGCTGTTTAGAATGAACCATTTACAAAGAAAAGTTCGCTCAGGCTCCCTAGGTTAAAAAAAGACAACCAACTGAAAAAAAAAACCATCAGGCCCTTAGTCTTCAAGTGAGCATTGGGTGTATAAAACTGTTAGAATGTTTCTATCTGGGAGAACTGGAGAATTGGCAAGAGGGAATAAAAGGTTGCAGCAGTGGTTGAGTTGTTCTCTTTGCCCCTATTCAAAAGCGTAAACAGCAGCGCCATCTTCTTAATTAGAAGCTTTCAGGCAGGGTTAAACTCTTTGCCAACAGGGATACTAAGAAGATCAAAATACTAATGGTAGTTTTGATAATTAGGTTTCAAGTCCTGTATTGTGCTTCTGTTGAAGCAATAAAAAAGCTTATGTAAATCTCTGGATACCTGAACACACTTATGTTACAAGAAAATCCCAATAGCATTAAAATAATTATTTGGAAGATGAAGCTTAGCTAGTCAGTCTAGGTCTTTCTTCGTACCTTTGGGAAACATATTCCAGTTCGCATTAAACTTCCATCAGTTAGTCATTTTTGAAGACATTTTGAGAATATTATTTCTCCCTTGATCAAAAATAGCTGATTTGCAGAGTATAGGATGTCACTTGTGGGCTCTCCTCTCTCTGTGCTAGAGGAAAGATCCAATGGGAGCAGTTCAGTGGCTGGACTGCTGGAGTATGTGGAGTGAGACAGTCTCCTCTGGGGATGCTTACTCATGTCGCTAGGGAGAACAGATGTCACAGGTTCTCAGCGAGATGGCTTTTCCCCTGCAATAGCTGTTGGGATTTTCATGGGCACTTCTGCAGAGTACATTTTAATGGCTTTGCCTGCAACAGAAGCATGGTTATTGTTGGCAAGGTTCACACTGCAAGAAAGGCCTTTGCTTCTTAGCCAGAGCAAAATAACTGATAAGGCTTTACTTGTTGTGGTCAAGCAAGTTACAGATTTGGAATAACCCTTAAATTGCAAATGATTCAGGACTTTCAGTGGGGGAATTTATTCCCTAAAGCAAAGGGACTACTATGCATTTAGCCTAATTAGCCCAGATGGCTTGTGACACACATAGCACAGACTAAGCTAAGTGTCATGGGAGAATTGAATATTCCAGATTCTCTTGGCTCAAATCATATGTCATTTGAGCTGGAATTCAGAAGCCTAAGACAGACAAGTTTCTCACTGGAATGTTAGCATGTGTGATACTTCATCTCAGTTTCTTTTTGTGAATTTTATTAGAGATGTGTTTTACTTAAACAAATTACTTTGATTATATAAAAATGGTCATATCATTTTATAGTTTAGCTGCTCAATGATTTTGATAATTTGAGGGATACTGTGAGTTTTTAACTGCACCTTCATCTCACTAAGGCAAATTGCACAGCAAAGAGATGGAAACTTCTCAAGGCCAAAGCTACTGCTGCTTGTAGTGGGAGACTTTGAAGAAAGGAGCAGAATTTTTCATCCTGTATGGCCTTGTCTGTTAGTAAACAGTGTATGCAAAAAGCTGATCCCTCTTAGTGTAACTCAGTCTGTTGGCCAGGAGAGCTCTCTGAAATGGTAGCGTGTGAAAATAAGGCCTTACAGTAAAGAAGCTTGAGCTATTTAATCAACAAAACAAAGGTATTGGGCTTCCTGCAAAAATGTGAGTGCAGACCATCTCTATATAATTCAGTAAGCTAATATAAGAAAAACTGATAGTGTGGAGAAACTGTTACCAGTACGTAAATATCTTAATTTCATCAAGTGTTCTGTTTTATGTTGCTTTGTTTTTTCTTGAAGCCATCATTGCTGAATATGTGTGGATTTTAGAAGCTAATAAGAAAAAGATTAGACTTGAAATCTGATCATAAAATGCGCAAGAAAAATAAAGCACTTAAATATGTGTATAGAAAGCTCTCAGTCTGCGGTTAAAACTTTCCATACTTGTTACACTGTGGCAAACTTGTGTGGGACAAGAATATTTTTTCATGGGGCTTTGTTTTGAGATTTTGAACTAACAGCAGAAATATCTAGGATTGGAGCTGCCGATGTCCAAAATTATTAAAGTGAAATTGAATGGCGAGGAAGTGACACTATGAAACTGTGGTTCAAAAATAAGCAAGTTTCAACTGAAAGTTCAAAAATATTAGTATACGCTACAATATTTTTGTTGAGAAAGAATGTTGATGAGAAGTCAAGCTTGACTTAATACAAAATAAGTAATTCAGTATCTTCTTGAAACACATAGGTACGAATCAAAGTTGGTGCCAAGGAGAGTAGGAATCCGTGGCCAGTGCTTGCAGGTCAGGGGGTTAGCAGGTATTAACAAAATTAACATGTTCACAAATGGCCTTGCAGCCAGGGCAAATAGTGAGCTGGCAAAGTTTTCTGGTGATAGAGATCTTCATAGTGTTCAGATAGGGGCACTCTGTACAAAGTTACAGAAAAGCCTTGTGTGGATGGTGACTGGGCATGACGTGGCATGCGAAACACACTGTAAATATATGTTGTGATACACACATGGGAGATAAAAATAACTCTAGCTTTGCATATAAAACAGGCTGAGAGTTGAGTATTGCCACTCTGGGATCCGATTTTTTGGATTATTGTAGTCTCGAATGTATAAACCAGTGTTTAGTTGTGGTTAGAGTGGAAAGTAAAGGGTGAAACACCATTATGCCATTCTGTAAACTCACTCGTGTCTACATGTGGGGATGGTAATTGCAGGTGTTCATATTACCCGTCACAGATATTCTGAATTAATATATTTAGTTCTTTATGTTAAGAAGTTGACAAGATTCAGGAAAAAAAAGAGTTTAAAGCCTGTGGCTATCTTGGATGCAAGAAGTCTGTGGGCTCAAGGAGAGACTTGACAAGACAGAAACCTTTTGAGGGTTACTAAATAAATGACATCAGATTGAAGAAATCACATGAAAGTAGTTGGGGAAGTAACATATACTTACTCTGTTCTTTCTCTTCCCTGTGTATCTTCAAGCTACGATGGTAGACTGACTTCTTGTAAACTCCCTTTAAAATAAGACTGACTGCTGGAGTGGGATGGCTGATCTAGAGAAATAATTCAGACAGTTGGATCATTGCAATCTAAATATAGAGAAATATTCTGATTTTTGTAGTGTTTCAGGCTCGCCTAGGAGACTCTCCTGCTTTCCTTTGTGAGAGAAGTTTTATACATTGTCTTTCTCGGTCTATCTTCTAGGCTTCTTTAATCCTGCAGTGGCTGACTTTAAATGTTTTTTTTTTCTTTCTTAATCTGCAGCAATGTTTTGAGATGTTCTTGTCTCAAGGTCACGATCTCTTAACAGAGCTAGGCTTGCTTGAAATAGCATTGGCAACATGTAGAAAAAACTTCCTAGAGCTATTTTCTTTTGTCTGTTTATTGCCTCGCCTTTTCTAGTCTTGCTCAATTGTCACCTGTGAACCTGTTAGGGCTTACTGAAAATATGTCAGTACCAGTCAGTGCTATGAATTACGTGCTGCCTTCTTCAGTTATCTGTGCTTGCCATTCACTTATACATAAACTTACACATATAACTGGGGTGCTTGACTCAAGCATCGGTAGAAAGAAAGAGTATGTATAAATGGAGCAAAAAATGTTGTGATCTATTCATTGCCTTGTTGCAGACTTTAATCTAAATTGCTGACTTTAAAATACTCACATAGATAAAATTGTTCAACGGAGGCCCCTATTAATTTTATTGCTTTTATTATTAGTCATATTATCAGTACAACAATATATTGAGTAATGTCTGTTTGTACAAACAAGGTTTTTGCTCAAGACGGATCAATATTCTTATTTGGAGGAGATGAACCAGATGAACAAACTAGGTAGAGCAAGAAGTGAACAAGAGGCGAGTTCAGAGAGGGCTGTTTCTGTGTGCAGTCAGCTGTATCCGTAGTTTCACCTGGTTTCCAGCTTGCTTATTTTTATCAGCAAGAAAATCTTTTTTTGCACATAACTTTATTAAATAGGAGTACTTGGAAGCTGACTTTTTAAGCAATGCCTGAAGTAGTCTCTAATATTAGAGCTAGCTACTGTACTGCAAATGAGAGTAGGTGCGTTTGAATCATTTGCTAACAGTCAATAGTTTTAAGGGAAAATGGCTGCTTTTTATGAGCTTCTTTGTGTTCTTGTTTGTGTTTTGGGAGTTAAAACTTCAGTTTTGAAGTAATACCTACTGGTGAATGTGTTCATGGTATATCTTATGAATATGGACTAGCCAAAAGCAGTTAAATGCTAATTGCTGTTTGAAGAATTGAGTCCCTTTTATGTCTGAATTCAGAGACAGATTAATCTGTCTCATAAGAGTAAATTCAGAA